ATCTTTTCACTCCTCCAGTCACGGGAGAAGTAAACGTTCATATTTTTAGAGTTTTTTCGCGATGTATTCTTCGAGCTTCTCCGTGTCTGCCGCTAGTTATCCTCGGCTCTCTTTGCAATGGCGGCGCTGTAAACAACAGCAGCGTCCTGACCAATCACAAGCTTGCGTAATCCGTCTCGTTCGACGGATGTTTAAAAAAGTGGGCTCGACTCCGTACGTACTTGCGTGCCTGCCGGAGCCCTACGCAAGGACGGCGCATGGTGTTCGTGTCTCCGCACTGACGCAGACGGAGAAGCATAAATCAGGCTTTAGTCACCTGTACGTGACTTCAGGCACATCCCTGAATACACCTTTTTCCCTCGAGGCTTGATCGCAGCACACCCTAGTAGCCAGTGGTAACCTCTGCAGAGCTCTGGGATGGAAACCTTTCCACCCGGTTCTCCCCAGCAGCAGCTCTGCGCATCTCAGATCGCAGCGGCGCTTGTCTGCTGTGCGGCTGCTGGCTTGTGGAGCTCTCGGAGACCTCTGTGTTCCACCCGGTTTTACCCAGCGGTCAGCCCGGCGTATCTCTGACTCAGAAGCTCTGGTGTTGTGCAGTTAACTCCGGTTGTAGCTAGGTTGCTACCTCCGTTAGCTTGGCTCCCACCTCCGCATTAGCTTTGGGTTAGCTTCAGGTTAGCTTGTAGCTAGTTCGACCGGGGTGTCGTCAGTTGATCCCAGCCTTACAGCCCCACCCTCAGCTCCACCTCTCTTCCCTTTTATGGAATTGTCTGGGTTTGACGGAACCTGTGACAACGGTCAAAATGGCGGTGGTGGCCACCTCCCATTTTAGTACAAAAACTTATTATTGGAGCTGTGGAAACCCATTGTCCATATATGTATGTCGATGGTTTACACACAAAGGCTAGCCTACGGACAATTGGGGGGGGGGGGGGGGGGGGGGGGGGGAGGAGGAAACACTAAGACAAACAGGAAACTAAGTCAACAAAGTATAACTACAACAAAGAAGTTAAACTAATACATCCTCACAAAATGTGGGTAAGCTGAATTAGAGCTTCAGAACTTCTGGTTTCTTCATGATCAAGTGCCCCGCTTCCAGCAGCCAGATGGAATGTTCCACTTCCTGCCTGGAGTTACACTGTTACTCTCTCTCTCTCTCTCTCTCTCTCTCTCTCTCTCTCTCTCTCTCTCTCTCTTCTCCTCTCTCCCTCTCTCTCTCTCTCTCTCTCTCTCTCTCTCTCTCTTCTCTTTCTCTCTCTCTCTTCCTCTCTCTCTCTCCTCTCCCTCTCTTTCTCTCTCTCTCTCTCTCTCTCTCTTTCTCTCTCTCTTTCTCTCTCTCTCTCTCTCTCTCTCTTTCTCTCTCTCTTTCTCTCTTCTCTCTCTCTCTCTCCCTCTCTTTCTCTCTCTCTTTCTCTCTCTCTCTCTCTCTCCCTCTCTCTCTCTCTCTCTCTCTCTCTCTCTCTTTCTCTCTCTCTTTCTCTCTCTCTCTCTCTCTCTCTCTCTCTCTCTTTCTCTCTCTCTTTCTCTCTTCTCTCTCTCTCTCTCTCCCTCTCTTTCTCTCTCTCTCTCTCTCTCTCTCTCTCTTTCTCTCTCTCTCCTCTCTCTCTCTCTCTCTCTCTCTCTCTCTCTCAGCCAGTTCTTCCAATCTCAGCAAAATACAAATGAAAATAGTTAATGATCAGATAAGCTATGTATAAGATAAATTACTAAATGTGTGCACCCATTAGTAAACATCCTAAAATACTGCAACAAAATGAAATGATGAAGCAAGTTTAAAAAAATATTTAAATAATACTAACACTGAGAAATGGCTGGGGGAACCTCCCGATTAGATTCATTGATTACCTGAGACTTCTTTCTCGTATGGGGAGGCTTAGGTTAGGATAACCAGAGTTTCCTCCCATTGACCTTGGTCATGTGCTACGAGTGGAAGCGGCGCCACTTGAGGCTGGTGTGACCTCTGTTTACAGCACTTACATCAGTTTCACACAGTTACCCTCAGGCCACTGACCAGCTAATTTAATCTTGTTTTTTATGTTTTTTTGTTTAGATATGTCTTGTTCTTCCCGTTGGCGTTAAGCCTTATGTATATGAACTATATGAAAAAGTATTTTTCCTTTCTTAAAAAGGGTTGGCAGCATGATACGCACGTGTTTCAGCCGATACCTTTTGACTGGCCTTGTTTGTTTGTTACTCTGTCTGCGACAGCCTTTAATTCAATCGTATTGTGATATTTTAATGCTAATCAACAAATAAAATAAATCAATAAAAAATAACTCAGTATGATGGTGTACAGATCACAAGAGAACCATTTAAGATCAGTGATCATTCAGTTTAAAGGTACATAAGTAACACAAGACCACTGAGATTAAAACAAGGATTAACATACAGATGATTGCTTATAAGTATTCAGGATTATATGTGTGATCAAACATTTTGTATTCACTTTACAACCAAGCAAACATTTGGACGATTAATGACCGTTTAACAGTCTTGTCCTGTTTAAAGACATTCTTGGCTCGCCAGATCAGCGTGTGCTCGATGCTGCATGCAGAGCTGAGGACAGGCAAGCCAAGGCAGCTTTATTTATTTAGCACATTTCATGCACCGAAGCAATTCAGGTGCAATTAAATGGTAAATGGCCCATATTTGATATAGCGCCTTCTAGAGTCCTGGAACCCCCCAAGGCGCTTTACAACACAATCCGTCATTCACCCATTCACACACACATTCACACACTGGTGGGGATGAGCTACATTGTAGCCACAGCTGTGGCGCGCTGACAGAGGCGAGGCTGCCGAGCACTGGCGCCACCGGTCCCTCCGACCACCACCAGCAGGCAACGTGGGTTAAGTGTCTTTCCCAAGGACACAATGACAGCGACAGACTGAGCGGGGCTCGAACCTGCGACCTTCTGATTACGGGGCGAGCACTTAACTCCTGTGCCACTGTCGCCCAATTTACCCAAATTAACCACTTCCTGTACATAACTGCACACCTCAGTGGTAATGAGGTTCAAGGCTGGGTGTCTCCTTGTTGCCTATTATTGATGGTTTATGTATTTGTGTTCCTTATTACTGTGGATGATTAACATGTTTGTGATTTTTTTCTTTCAACTTGTTTTGCACGTGTTTTCTTTTTATAGTAAGTTGACGACCGCTGCGCCCATTCAACAACCGAGCAATTAATGTATATATCTGACAGTGGTCTGAGGGTTTTAAAATAGAGCCTGATTTTAATTCATTTGTCCCACTTCCATTGTTGAGTTGGGTAATCTAATTTCCCCTTAAGCTATTTAATCTCCTGTGCTTATCACACATGCTTATGTCGACTCAAAAGATGTTCTCTGATCGGTGTTCTTCATGTTGCTGTAGATGCTCTAAATTTTTTTGTTTTACATTGAGGCCTCTGATGTGTTTTTATTCCAGCCAGATGAGGGTGCCATAACAGTATTTTGTGCAGCACTTAATGAAAATGTGGTTAAAATAATATATAACTCTTGCTGTGTAGCTGTGGTTTTCTGAGTCAGCTGATCAGGCAACATTCATTTACACAAAAGTATGTGTTGCAAAAATGTCACGACCCAAGGCAGAGTTTTATTACTGAGATAAATTAGATGGATTGATTTGGTATGTGCTTGGTTTGCCTCTAAGGCTTCAAAAACAAAATGTGGACTCCCTCTGAATTTTGTTTGACCAGAAAAGTTTTCTCTTGTTTGCTCTAGTCACGAGAACAAACACTCACTGAAACATTTCAGAGCGACTGGAGCGTAGAAAAGAAATGGACATTCTGCTCCCTTTGTTGCTGCTTTACAATAGTGACTTCCTCTCTTCTCCCGAAGTCAAATTTTACTTCTAAGGCCTTGTTTTTGAGTGATCAGCCAGTTTGAACACAATATCTTTACATTTTGGAGGCATTGATGAAGTCACACATGCCAGGAATAGTTCCACAAAGAATGCAGATTCTGACAGGCAAACTTTTGTCGTTCAACGTGCAAATCCCTCACCATTTTACCTGGTTCGTTCAACTGAGTTTTAAGACATGCAAATGCAGACTCGCAGCTTCATGACAGATTATTCAGGAATTTTATACAAATCAGACCGCCTTGCCTAAATACAGAAATTAAACAGAAGAGTAGTGATGGTGTTTTACTATAGTAGGCCTTGTTCTTTTATTGTTTTTACCTCATTTACCATGTTTTATAATTTTATTTTTGTTTAATCTACTTCCTTTGAATGTTTTGTGCTTGTTTTTACTTTTTATCTTACTTTTAATGTTACACAACACTATATTTGATCCTATGTGTTTTATGATTATGTTTGGCACCTTGGGCTTCTGCTGAGGTCAGTTGAGTTGAATTTATTTGAATTATTTAAGTTCTTCAATTGAGCACTTGAAAACCCATGCATCAAAATCATACAAGCTATCAAAAATATACCTCATTTTAAATACAATGGTTCCATTCAGACATCACTGTTTTAGAATGAGGGAGAAACTTGAAAACATCAAATGTAGTAACTACAAAATTGTTGGCAAAAGGAGATCTGAGGCACTCAGGAGATACAAAAATAAAAAGCCTTTATTAGTACATGGCTCAAATAGTTAAAAACATAAATGCCGACGCGTTATGTTTTGAACTATTTGAGCCATGTACTAATAAAGGCTTTTTATTTTTGTATCTCCTGAGTGCCTCAGCTCTCTTTTTGCCAACATTTATGTGGATCCCTTTGCTGAAGAGCACCAGATAAAATTTCTTACACCAGCACTTCCAGCATTTTTTCTATTTTCATTAGTTTCAACATTATTTATTTACACTTCGTTAGTACTTAACTGTGTTCTCATATCAAACAGTATAGGGTATTTTAAGAGTTTTTTTCTTTCTAGTTCGTCGTATTTTCAGTTGAAAAAGAAAATATTCATGTTTGATTTTTTCCTCCACCCTCTTCCGTTTAAATCTGGTCACATGATCTAGTCGCCGTCCAATCAGCTGCTAGAATTCTGCGGCTCGTAATTTTGAACAGACGAGGAGCAGCCAACCGAGTGCTTGTAAGCTAGTAGCATAACATCGACTAATATTCCCCTAAAATGTATACTTCTCTTTCTCACTGTTTTTAATAAAGTGAAACCCATTAAGTGTAGTCAGTGATGAATATGAGCACGCATATTATCACTCCTGGACCGTATCGAGCCACAAAATTGGTAAGTTTTCTTGTTTAGCTAACGGAAACGAATCTTTTACGTGATGTATTCCGTACTGGTATTTGCAGTGCGTTTGTTGATCAGCGTTAGATTTAATTTAAGTAATTAACTATTCGTTATTCTGCCAACACAAGCATGTTGTAAATCCTCCGCATTTTATTTTTAAAGCAGCAGTAGCTCTGTTTCGTTTTGTTGGGGTTCTAAACGAGACTATGCGTGAGTTACATCATCAGATCACTAGTGTTTTATTTATTGTCATTAAGTTTATCTTATAATTCAGCGTGGCTGACCGATATTAGTGTATTCCTCTAAATTAAACGAATTTCTTATTTCTGCAAACACCTCGTTTCTCCCAATAAAAGCCACAAAACCCAGCCGGTTAGTGGTGATTTCATGTTACTTGAGTGTATTTATTTATATAGCACTTATAACAGACATGGAATCACACGGTGCTTCGCTTAGATCATTTTGTGGTATAGTTCTTGTTTTGTCCTTTTAAACAGAGTAAAATAAGTGCAGTCACAAAGGATTTAGCCAAACGTTAACACTTCTGATAATAGATTTGTTGCACGATTTACAAGGAAATAACATTTACAGATAAATGTGGAAAAACTTCATCTGTGATTGGGTTAGATCTGTCATAATAACACAGTTTTCTAGACAATAATTTGTCCCAGTAATTATTGTGATAAATGATGCTGCTGCTTGGAGACCATTTTCAGCTAACATATGGCATACAAATGCAAGTAAGCCCTCTCAAAGATCAGTAAACTACATGACTTCTGGACAGTTGACTCTGCAGTGGATCACATGATATGTAATAGCCTGTGTAATATTATCAAGATCTGGTGTAAATACAGATCATGTATGCATGTTGATATTTTCTCCTATTTTCACATATTTACAACTTTTTTCTATTGTTTTTGCTATTTTGATGTAGTTCTTGTTCATATTTTTCTTGTTTTCACTGCTGAAAACTGAATTTCCCAGAGGAACCTTCCTACGAAGAAATTAAACGCTGGAGCTGAAAGTTATTACATATTCAACAGACAACTAATGAAAACAACACATCTTTTGTCATATTTTTCTTTGTCATTTTATTTGTAACCTCTGTGATCATGTTAAATTTTTTATTGTGCTTGTGAAGCACCGTGATGTTTATCTTGAAGTGATCTATATAAAAAAATCTTCTTCACCTCAAGGACAACTGGAGACATTATTTTGTTCTTTTTATGTAGTCCAGAATCCTGGTGTGGTTTTTATCTCCAAGTAAGATCTAAACTTGTTTTTATCCTCTCTCAGTGGAATGAGGTGACTCGTTTGTTTCGGGCCGGCATGCCTCTCCGGAAGCACCGGCAAAACTTTAGGCACCACGCTTCCTGCTTCACCGCCTCGGCTGCCGTGGAGTGGCTGCATCAGCTGCTTCAGAGCAACAGCAACTTTGGTCCTGATGTCACCAGGCAGCAGACGGTTCAGCTCCTGAAGAAGTTTTTGAAGAACCACGTGATCGAGGACGTGAAGGGTCGCTGGGGGACCGAGGATCTTGAGGACAACAATGTTTTGTACAGGTAGAGAAATTGTGGAGTCTATTGGGTTGTTTCACAAAATGCTTTTTTAGTTATTTTGGGGTGAATTGTGATTTATTTACAGTAATGTTGGCTCTGTCATTTGTTTGCTTCTCAGATTTCCCTCCGCCTCACCTCTGAAGCCCATTCCCTGTCCAGCTCCACTGTCGGGCCCCAGCTCCATCAGAAAAAGATCCTCATTCAGGGACAAAGATGGCTTCTTTAAATTTAGAAGCGTCAAGAAGCAGGAGAAAGAGACCCAGGTCAGTGGGCTTTTAAATCATTGTGTTGATGTTTATTAGTGAAACTAAATGTTCTACGTTTACATACAGTCACCAGTTTTTAGATAACGAGGAGAATTTGTGTGTTGAAATTTCTTATTTTCAGGAAAACATGGATCCTGCCCTCCAAACACAGCAAGAGGGAGCTAGCCAGGCCTCAGAGGAGCAGCAGCAGCAGCTACAGAGGCGAGAGCTGACTGTGGGGGATGAACTGGAAATCTGGAGAGACATCACCCTGACCCAGTATAAACATGCTCTCTCTTTAAAACAAAGCCTTTTAATTCAATGCACTTTGCTAAACATATAAGTGGCAACGACTAGAGGCCAACTGATGTGGTTTATTGTAAGGCCGATGCCGATTTTTAAAGAATTTTGTTGCAGATGGCAGATTGGCTCTAAAGCCAATTATTAAGGCAGGTGTGTGTGTGTGTGTGTGTGTGTGTGTGTGTGTGTGTGTGTGTGTGTGTGTGTTTTAGCAGCACATTGATTGTGAAAGACAACAGAACACTGCGATACAAATTAAATAAGTAAATAAATCTCTTAATATTTATTGAATTTCAAATACAAAAACTAACTAAAAACATTAAAAAAAACTGGTATGTTGGGGTCCTCTCTGGAGTCTAGTAGTGGCCGTAGTTGGCCATACAGGTGCCTGATTTTGAACATTTTTTTTTATCAGTTTTTAAAAATAATTAAAAAAGTTATATATATATATAATATATGTGTGTGTGTGTGTGTGTGTGTGTGTGTGTGTGTGTGTGTGTGTGTGTGTGTGTGTGTGTGTGTGTGTGTACAGGTGGTCATTAATTGAGGCCAACCAATATATAGGGCGGCCTCAATTAATGACAGGTTAAAGTTTTACACCCGACCTTCTTTTGTCCTTTCTCTCTTTTGTGTTTCAGCCTGCTGAGAATTCTGGGTGTTCCATCCCTCAGTGAAGTTTTAGATCAACGTTGCCTAAATCCTCAAAACATCGTCCACAATATGACCAAAGTCAACAAGCATGGAGTCGTCACGCTGGACGACAAGACCAGTAGGTTAACGACGAGGAATGAGAAGCCCTGAGTTTTGAAAGATCTCGCACAGCAAATGTTTTTTTATGTACAGAAATGTTTACTATTGTTGTTGTTGATCACAAACCAACAGAACAAACATGAATGCTGAAATGTAAACCACAACCAGTCTAACCTGGAAATAACCTTTTCAGATGACCTTCCTCACTGGGTTCTGTCTGCCATGAAGAGCCTGGCCAACTGTAAGTGAAACAAACACAAACGCTCAGTTTGCGATGGATACCAGGAACCATTTTTGTTTCTCCCACTCTGGATGGAAAGCCCGAGGTTGGAGGGCTGTGGATGAGGATTAGGCTCACTGAATAGAAAAAGAGAAATGAAACTCAAAAGTCAGTTCTTTTTCTGTTCATTGGCCTTATTTTTCTGTAGAGACCAATCAGCGGTCTTTAAAGAGCAAGTCACCCCCTACCAGAGTATTACTCCACTCCCACTTCCTGTTTGAAAAATGCAACAAATGCTGTTGCCTAGCAGACTGAGAGTGCAGAGCTGCTAACAAACACACACACAGGCTCACAACGACATTGTGACATCATATGGTACCAGCTAACGTTCTAGGGTACCTCTTAGCCAATAGCGATGGCAGATTTAAATTCAAATGCAGTGCAGAGTTTTTACCTGACACACAACACTGACAGTTTTAGGCAGAAAATAAAAAATGTAACTAAAGTGCTAAACTATTGACTACACGTGTCTGCAGCACAATTAGACACGCATTTATATAGTTTACCAGGGGAAAAAAAGTTGATTTGGGGGTGACTTGCTCTTTAAATGTGTATTTTTTCACTTTTCACGTGCTTTTTGCACCTGTTTGTTTGGAGACCAGACAGATGAGTTGTCCCCTCTAGGGATCTTAAAACCCCTCAACACAAGACAAGCGTTTCATGTGACTTGTGACACAGCACTGAGATTTATACAGCCTGAATATCGCTAAGAAACAAAACCTGAGATGACCTTATTCTATGCTCTGTAGATATGTAACGATTGTAAAGTTAAAAAAAACAAACATTATTAGTTTTATTTGTCAGTTTGAGATCTCGAACAGCTAGATTTTCCTAAACGATCCCTTGAGGGGATTTTCCGAGCTTCGGTAACTTGTTCTTTATCTCCAGGGCCGAAGTACGACAGCGAGCAGCCATCTTATCCCGGCTTCGAAAGGGACGTCTTCAAAACGGTGTCCGATTACTTCTACAGCCTTCCGCAGCCGTTGCTCACATACGAGCTTTATGAGCTGTTCATAAACGTCCTGGGTAGGTTTATTATCCTTTTGTGGGAGCCGGAGCTGAAGGATAACCTCAGTCCCATTCGGCCACTTTCTCTGATGTGATTTGAGTCCGTGTCATCTAATCGTTCATTTGGGTTCTAACAGAGGCTTTGGTTGTTTGTGGCGTCCTAACAGAAACCTGAGCCTTTTGTGTGGATGGTTGTCTGTGACTAGCTGACGTCTCTGTGTGAGCGTTGCAAGTCTAAAATAACTAAACCGTCTCCCTCCCCTTCTCTGTCTGCTTGCACTGACCCTCTGCCTGCACTGTTCGGCTCTCTCTGCCCGTCTCCCTGTCTGCATCTGCTTTCAGCGTTTTGTGGCTACATCACAGCACCCAATAAGCTCCAGGCCGGGAAACGCAAGAGGTGGGATCTTCCTTCCGTTCCGCCTCCAGCCAAGTCGTCCTTTCGCTCCACAGAGTGTCTCCTCCTGGCGCTGCTCAGACAGGGGTCATGTGACGAGACGGAGTCGCCCATGAGGGAGGTGCTCGGTGGGAAGCTTCAGTCACGGCTGGAAGCGCTGAAAGGAGACGAGGCCGATTCGAGCGGCGGCCAGCTGGGAGGCAGCTTCGCTAGCCTGAGCACCGTCGCTTCCTCAAGGAGTCAAACGAGGAGTTGCTCACTGGAAACTGTCCTTGCCACTTCTGCCCCCCTCACCCGACAGCAGCTGTGTCTGTCCGTGGACAGCCTGGCGTCCTGTTCCCGTAGCAACCGCAGTCAGAATGACAGCTCTGTCATCACAGTACAGGAAGACTGCTCAAGCTCAACCTCTGAGTTCAAAACAAAACTCATCACTAAGGAAAATGCTGCGGTTGTCACCGCCAGAAAAAAGCGGGCCACGGTTTCCATGGAAACTCGGAGATCAGCCTCCTCTAGGCCTCGCAGCGTTGGCAGCTGTCTGGACATTGTTGTAGAGACCAGAGAGGACGAGGCCAGAGAGATTCAGCGGCAGAGCCGTGCTGCCAGCTACCTCGATGTGAACGGACCCTCAGCACAGCACCCCCCTCCGTCCACCTGTCACCTCTCTTTCTCCTCCCATCTTTACTCTCTTTCACCTGCACGAGGCCGGAGGGCTGCCACAGAACCTAGTGGACCCAAACCCGCCTCCAGCGCCTGTAATCTCTGGAAGCTCCCCGCACCCGCTGTCGTTCGACGCTGCTTTAGCTCCGTGGATGTGTCCGAGCCACCCCCACCCGTGTCACTGCTCAAACTGCCTGTCTGTGTGCCTGCCAGAAACTTCCAGCTCCCCCAGCCCAAACCTGAGCACAGTAAGAGCCTCTCCCCGTTACCTGTCTGTCTGCCGTGTCGATGCCCAGTGAGTTCACCCACATCTAACACCTTACTAACACGGGAGGTTTCTTCCTGACTTCTTTTGGCGTCGCAGTCCTGCTCGACGATTTTTTAGAGGATGAGAGAGTTTAAATATCATCTCATTAAGAATTTGGTGCTTTTCTGTCCTAAATTCAAACAGAACAACGTACAGCCGACTGAACCCACAAGCAGCTGTACACTAGTTGCTTTTGGACTGAGTTGTTTTTGTATTTTACTGCTTTTTAATTCATATTGAGTGTTCTTTTCCTCCAAACCACATCCATGTGATCTGTGGCTTTTATCATGAAACTTTGACATCCCATCCAGTTTTTGTTGCCGCCTAAAAGCAAATAATACATAAATGAATCAAACTTAAGCGGCAGGACTCCCTCCTTCCACAGTAGTGCTGGTTTAGTATAAAACTTACTACACATTACTAAATCCTTCAGTTCCACCAACTCGCATTTCATCACAGCTGTAGTGGATTAATGTCTTCCATCTATTCATCCGTCTAGGCTAGTGATGTCATCGCAGTGATGGATAGATGTGGGTGTGAAGAGTGATTCCTAAACAGAATTTCCTTCCTTATCATGAAGGTTTTAAGGTTGTTTCTGTGCGTCGTCATCCAGGTGTTCTGCAGCCTCAGTGCGAGCGTGTGGCCGTCGAGGCCCTGCAGCTCTGCACTCTCCTCCTCCCCCCTGCTTCTCGCAGGAAGCTGCAGCTCCTCATGAGGATGATGTCACGCATCAGCCAGAATGTGGACATGCCCCGCCTCCACCCTGCTATCGGCACCCGTACTCTGGTGAGGAGCTAGCAAATGTTCTGCATTAGGGATGTGAATTGGTGAAATTATGGCGGTACGATACGGTATATCTCGATCACCTAACGCTAATGGGCTCGATACACGGGAGGTGACAATCGACCGCGATCAGCTAAATTCGTCACTGTTGCTTTTATTGCTTGACATACGCAAGGCGACCCGCGGCAGCGGTAAAGCTGTCGAAGCGTTCTGTTCCATGGCGAAATCGAATCTTCTGTTGTTTTGGTTGGCTGTGTCAGGTTGGAGGGAATTAAGGTTATTTAAAGCTTCTTTCCTGAGTATTTCTCTTATCCGATTGCACCATCTAGTGGCTGACAAGCATATCACACAAAAAAGTCTATTCTTCTGTTTTTTTTTTTTTTCAAGATGGCGACTTCACGTTTCTGTTTATAAACGTGCTTCTGTAGCCGACAAACAGAGCAAAAACACGTTGTTTTATGAGTATTATTCTCATGTCGTGTTGTGTTCTCATTTATTATATATATATTTTAGAGACTTTCTTGTCCGTGAGAAGTTCATCAACTGCATCAGCCGAGGTATTCATTAAATTTGAAGCATCTAAGCGGTAGTCTAACGCTATTGGTTAGTTCTGGTCGGCGCTCAGTTTCCTATTGCACGGAGCTCTGCCGGGCAGGAGGCGTGCTTAGCAACACAAAAAAAAGACGTATTGCTTATATTATATCACAGTACATGATAAGATAATCACTTTTACGGATTTCAGAAAAATCGTACATCATTTCTGAAAGTGGAAATCTCCAGAAAGCAGCTTTAAGGGTTCAGAGTTAAAAAAGCGGTCGATAGGATGTTTCACAAGGTGCTGCTAGAGTTATGTGAAATCTTACCTCTGAGTTTACTATATTTAAAAAAAAAAAAAAAAAAAACGGAGAATGGGTTCATCCCATATTACAAACCAGAGAATATCTCTATATTCTTTGGTAGAAATATTGTACAGTTCTGGGAAATCCGTCACAGCAGGTGTCAACTTGTCCTCCATGTTTGCGCGGAGGTGTACGGAGCATCCTGTCCGCTCATTGGTCAGTGAATGAAACCTCCGCTGATTGGTCCTCGTCCGAGTGACAGCGATGAAAAGTTGAAAATATTTCAACTTTCTGGGATCGCGTCGCTTTGTCGCCTGTGCACGACACGTGCACGAGCGCAAAATTTCACACTCGCGTTTTTCGCGTTTCATACTTCGTTTAGTAGGGGGGAGACCCGCGATTATTGCTTTGTCGCCCATGTCTCATTGAAAATGAATGGAGGAGAGGCGATGTCGCCCGCCGTGTGTCGAGCCCATGACACTGCGATACATTCAGTCAGACGATATTAGCGATTTTCTTAAACAGTTTATTGTGGGAAAATTCAATGAACAGTCCAAACTGATACTTAACATGTTTAACATGAGGTATCTGAACCGAAATAGAGGGATTTACCTTTCAATGGTGGAAACAAAACCCATTGCACACTGCTGCCAACTAGTGGTCAGCATTTGAATCGCACCAAAAGAAAATAAGTACATACATTTGCTTGTAAATTCTTTTAAAAGTTCGACAATTTTGAACATTGATATCATATATATGGAAAAAATATCGTGATATATATATTGCCATATCAACATTTCCTTACGTCCCTATTCTGCATGTTTGCAGCCTTTTTACACATTTAGTTTCATTATTTTTGTGATTTTCAGATGGTTCACACATTTTCAAGCTGCATCCTCAGCAGTGCTGAGGAGTGTGACTTGGATGAGCTGTTGGCGACCAGACTGGTGTCGTTTCTGATGGACCACCAGCAAAGCATCCTCTCAGTTCCAGAATACCTGCTCAGTGCAATCGGTGACCACATACAATACCTCCGCACCACTCAGGTACCCCTAAATTTACTTACATAAATATGAGATACACATTTCATGATGCATGTGTCTGAAACGTCATTATGGGATGTACATTTTTTCATAGAAAGCGGCTAAATGTGTTCTGTTTGTTGGTGAGAAGAAGTTTTTTGAAAGTGGACAAATGACAAATGTGTACTTTGTCCTGTCCTGTCCCAGGTCCCCATCGACACCGGTCCACATGCTGACCGTGACGATCTAGTGTCCGTTCCAGTACCAATGTACGCGTTCTGCAAACAGATAAGTGGCGCTGAGTTTGAGCAGCAGAAGCTGGAGTCTTCTCAGAAAGCCATGGAGGAGCTGCTGGAGATTCTGCTGACAGACCAAAACATAAACGAGAAGGATCGACGCAAGAAACTGAAGCAGGTGACGAAACTTTATACTGTTTGTGGCAAACAGAAACAACTGTCAGGCCAGCAGGTGGCAGCATTTAACGCCCATGGTAAAAATGGCCTGTATTTGTATAGTTCCTTCTTAGGGTTCTACAACCCCCCAAGGCGCTTCGCAACACGGTCATTCACCGTGTTACGACCCAGGCTGTCTGGGGGGCGTGGGGTAACAATGAGGACAAATGCTCTGGTGGTGTTAAAAGGATAAACACGAAACCCAAGTTAACAAAGAATAAATCAGCGGCAACTCATAATAACCAGTAACACCTAGGGATGCACCAATACGATACTGGAATCGGTAAAAGTTAACCGATACCAGGAACCGATACCAATGCAGTTGCTTGAAAATGGCTTCACTGTAACTTGTCATTTCTGTTCACCTAATATTTTAGTTTTGTGATGATTTCCATTCATATATTTTACTTTTTATCTACCTCACAGTCTTTTCCTGTTGAAAGCAGAGAAGAAAATAAAGTCTGTATTCCAAATCATTGCATTTTTTTGTGTGGTAGAAGTATCGGTATTGGTTATCGGTATCAGCGAGTTCTCAGATCCAAGTATCGGTATCGTATTGGTTTGGAAAAAAGTGGTATCGTTGCATCCCTAGTAACAGCATTACGACAAACATCTCTAACCAAGTGAAAACAAACGTGTCCTCAGACCTTCACATTAGGGCTGCAACAAACGATTATTTGGATAATCGATGAACCGTCCAGTTGCCTCCATCATGCATGAAAATAACACAAACATTTGCTTTATTGTGTGTGTAAAGTGTAATATCACCAGATTCAGAACAACCTTCAGGGCTGCAGGAAGCGTGGATCGGTTATCTTTTGGCGCTGAGATCATTCTTGTCTGTTGTGTGCAGCAAACCCTCGTGGGAATTCAGAGGGAAAAATTATCAGCTGCTCTAAAAAAAGAAAAAGTAGATGACTAGAAGCCCTTAATCACATTTGTCCACCTGGAGGTCATGAAGATGCAGAAAAGTGTCGTTTCCTGTCTTACTGGTGTCTGCTTTAGTTTCAGAAGCAGTACCCGGACATCTACGGTCGTCGGTTCCCCTCCTCAGACCGGGCGAACAAAGCTGACGGCAAACCAAAGATTAAACCACCTCTCCTCAGCGTCAGGAAGACCAAAGCTTTCAGCATCAGGAGTTAAACCAGCCTGTTGGTTTTGGTGCTCTTGTTGAACTGGCGTTCTGTTTTCAGGAAGAAGCCCACGTGCGGCCGTAAAGCCGCGTGACGTTCGGAGGTCCTCCCTCTGGTTCTGGTTTGAGAACACGTCTGCTGTTTTAGGGGCAGGTAAACAAACAGGATCTTTTTAAGGAAGGTCAAATGTTTCTGCTGCAGGTTTTCTGTTAAACTATCACTGTTTTTACCTTGTGTGTGTGTGTGTGTGTGTGTGTGTGTGTGTGTGTGTGTGTGTGTGTGTGTGTGTGTGTGTGTGTGTGTGTGTGTGTGTGTGTGTGTGTGTGTGTGTGTGTGTGTGTGGTGGGGGGGGGGTGTGTGGTTGGAAACAAAACTGGGAGTAAAATATTCAGAATTACAAATGAACATAGGAGTAGTGAGGTTATAGATCTTATTTATTTAAACATGTTATTGGGAGCGTCTGAAAGCTTGTTTTGTATATTTTCTGGACCTGTTGTGTCACCAGTGCTGAGCGTTTACGGGACGTGTTCTTTAATATTTGTGCGTTTTAGATTGTTGGTCTTTTCTCTTTAAGTTTCTTCTCATCGTTTTAAAATGTTAACATCAGCGGTTCCGTTTTTCTCATGAGAAATCCACATTTCAGCACAAAGACGTTCGTATCTAACAGTTTTTTTAATTTATTGGTTTTTGTCTCCGTTTCTGTTTGTTTGTGTTCCTTCTCTTTGTTGTTTGCAGGTTAGTGAAGTTATTTTGCACTGAGTTTATTTGTTGGGAAGAGCCTGCAGACTCATGTCAGTGGGTCGTTTAAATGTTGTCGGACCATATTTCTCCTCAGAGGGATGTTTGAGACGCCTGCTTTTATTTTGTGTTATAAATAAATAAAAGGAATTGGTGGATTTTCTTTGAATAAACGACAGTAACAGCTGGTTTATCCTTTAAAGAACGCACCCTGGCAGGTACCCTCGTGTTTGACTAAATGAAGAATTGATCGTGATCTGGTGTTTGTTTGGACCTCAGGTCAAGTGAAGCGTGCATGTGCATTCACTCGGTGTTTTCGTGTTGCTGTACATAGGCGTGCATAATTTACAACTTTGTTTACTATGCAGTTATTTGGGAAATAAACTTGCTCTGTTATCAATCAGTCAATCAAAGATACTTTATTAATCCCAGAGGGAAATTAGAGTTTCAGTACACACAATTCAGAGATCAGACATACATGGGCAAGACACATGACAAGAATTGGTGACTGTGGTCATTCACAACCCTGAGTCGTGCTACCTTAATAGAGATCAGAGGGTTACATGAGGATTGGTTCAGGTGGAGGGAAAAAAGGCACTTCAGAGTTACCCTCCACAGGGAGGGCAGCTTTGCTCTGCAAAAAACACCTCAGACAGATATGCAACAGACTTCAGACAACACAACATAAGTGTCCACTAGGAGGGGTGGTGGGTTGAGACTATCCCCACTTCAGTTCCTGCAGCCACGATAAGCAGCGCATGTCACCTCAGTGTGGATAGGGGGAGGAGCATAGAGGGTTGGAGGGTTGCAGTGACCCTGGAACGTTTCAGCGGCCTTCCTGCAGTCCCGCCCACGGTGGGATAGGAGACAGAGTTGAGTTGCCATAGCGACGGCACATTCCACATATCTTCTGAGGGGGGAGTTTTCGTTGGAGCCTTGCTGGCTCAAGGTCACCAGATTCCAATTAGAAATTGTTTTGAGGCCAGACAGAGATAATTTCCTCTCTGTCTTACAGTTTGTTGGTCCTCAACCTCTCAAAATCCCAATAATGGACGTTAATCTATCCCAATCCGTGCTGATTTGTCCACTCTCTCCTTGATGGCATCCATCTTTGTGCCAATGAATGAATCTCGGTCAAAGTCCCAAGCTTACGATTCATCTCGACAATTATGTGAGTCTGTGAATTCACAGCGAGGTGCAATCCATCTCTGAGCTCCGGGATCTAGCCGATATTCCTCGACAGCTCGTTAATTTTCCGGTAAGCCAGGTAGCCTCCAATGCCAATGAGCAGGAAACCCGACACCAACACCACAAATATCCACATGTCTTCAGAGTCCTCCACAGACAGCTGGTCTGTCCCGGAGGGGCATCCGGGAGCCCCTTCTCATCGTTGAAAAAATTTGATCAACCGTGTTGAGTGACTAACTGACGAGATCCATTTTAGTGATTTCAGTTTCCAGAAAAAATGCAGAAGCAGCCGTGCACCCAGCACACAGAGACAGACAAAGGCCTTGAGGATAAGATATGGAGGAGAGGAGAAGAAAAGCGTCCGCACCCTCCAAGAGCCAGAAGAGAAAATGGAGGAAACCTTGTCTTCAACTTCGGTTATGACCATTTAAAAATGCTGCAGCACTGATCTCTGACATTTCTGCATCCTGGTGGCAGCCCCGAACTTTCGAACAAACTGGATGCTCCGTAATCCAAATTACAGCTTGTGAAGGATAATCCAGCATCCACAGCAAACTGCACTCCATGTTTCTGGATTGAAAATGGTCCCGTTCATCAGAGCAGGAGGTGATTTCTCTCCTTTTGCTGGTTGCTACAAATGTCTCTCAGGACAAAACTTCCATGCAGATTTACATTTGACTTTAATCACGATGCCTGCAGGACAGAAAAGCTTTGAAGTCTTTTTAAAGTATAATACTTCTTCATATGTAACCAGGAGGCGGCTAAAGCCCCCTTTAACAAGGTAGAAGATCTTCAGCATAATGGATCGAGCAGAGCCAATGATCTGAGTAAAATAATCGTTAAAGCGTGGCCACGTTGTGGAGTCGCCGGCCTCAGCGACGTTTAGTTTTGATTTAAAAGCATTCCGTAACTTTCCAGCTTCGTTCCAAGCCGAGTGGACAAAAGCTCTTTTCCTAACGTCAGTTAGAGCAAATGGAACAATAAGGAATCCTCTTTCTATCATTTCTGGCACCAGTACATCAACATTTCTTCAAGAAGCTGGTTGTGGTGAAAATGGAATTTCACACACCAGTGTGGATGACATCATAGTGACCACGTCTAGTTCCTGCAAGCGTGCTGCAGCGTGGCGTCATTCACTGATGGGAGGTCAGCCTTGAGGCCATTCAGGGGTCTGAAACCTGCGGCTCTGGAGCCACAAGAGGCCCTTTGGCCATCTACTGTTTAAAATATGTGTTTACAGAAACATGCGTGTGCTCCTCGGTTTTTTCATGGCGTTATTGCTTTGAAATTCTTCATCAGATGGACATTAAATGGACCAGAAACTACCTTTTAGATGTTTTATTTTACATCATTTTCCACGAATATCAAAGTTCTAATAATAAAACTAAGTGGTGTTTTTTTAACTGAAAGAGCAACAAATAGATTTCTGATTTTTCCTCTCAGAATTCTGATATTATTCCTAAAATTATGAGAGTAAAAGAGAACCTTTTGTTTCAGTGGTCCTAATCTTCTTCGTCTCTCTTCAAACGGTCCATTGACAGCTGTAGCTCTAGACAAGCTCTGTGGTATCAGACCCCTTTCAGAGGACTCCAAAGCACTTTACACTACAGTGCATCATTCATCCGTTCACACACGCATTCACATGCTGGTGGGGATGAGCTACGATGTAGCCACAGCTGCTCTGAAGCGCACTGACAGAGGTGAGGCTGCTGAACACATGCGCCGCCGGTCCCTCCGACCACCACCAGCGGGCAACGTGGGTAAAGTGTCTTGCCCAAGGACACAGCAGCGGAATTCTCTGTCCGGAGCGGAGCCGGGATCAAACCTGCAACCTTCCGATTTCTGGACAACCCGCTCTTCCTCCTGAGTTACTGCTGCCTTGATAAATAAGACTTTTTGAGTTCTTGCTTAATTTCATTGAGATTTTTATCGTTCGCAGAAGAAGTAAAATATTTTTAATCGTTTGATTATTGCAGTGGCGTGTCCAGATCTTTTAAAATGGGGTGGCCCAGGTGAGGCACAACTTTGTGCATGGGTGGCACCAATGGTTAGCTTTTTTTGTTTTACCCCCAAGCCTTTTGTGGACAATGAAAAGCCTATTTAAAGGTAAATTAGTTTGGTGGCACTTGGGGTGGCCAGTCAGATTCCAAGGGTGGCATGTGCTACCCCAGGCCACTCCCTGGACACACCCCTGGATTATTGATGACAACATTTGAGATTTGCTTTCAGTTAGTCTAATATAAATGAACCCTATTTACTTTGGAATAAGGCGACAAGAATCAGTTATTGTATGAAATAAAGAAAAGAAAGAAAGAAAACAATCTTTTTTTATAGCCCCTCTCATGGTAAAAATCACAAGGCGCTTCACAAAAACAAAAAAATTAAAGTATAACATGATTTCAAAAAGTTTTTAAAGGAGAAACGGAAAAAAATGTAAGGAAAGGGAGAGAAAATGAATAGGTAAGAGGGAAATCAGTGGATCCCAGGAAAGGCAGAATAAATTCAAGGAGAGGGTGGTGACGAAGGTCATGCAAAAGCGAGCCTGAACAGGTTAGATTTATTATTATTATTAATAATAATAATAAAGCCCTTTATTGCCCCTCATGGGGGAAATTCTGGTGCACCAGCAGCAAAGTTACGGATAAGAAAAACAGATTCACACAAATATAGAGATGTATATAAATGAAAATAAAAATAGAATAGATTGTAAATTATTTACAGCATGAATGTAGTAATGAAACAAAAATATTATCTAAGATGCTATAATGGCAGCATGAGACTAGAGATGGAATCATGTACAATCATCCAATGTTGGACTCAGATTCTGTGTCACAGAGGCAAAAAAATGAAAAGGGGTCATTGCTTCGATAAAAGGGGAAATTATATGTGTGCATAAAATGTGCAAATAACAGCTGTTTTTAAAGGAGACCACTGAGTCCACTGATCTCTGGCTCAGGAGGAGAGAGGTCCAGAGTCTGGGGGCCACAGCAGCAAATGATCTGTCACTTTTGACCTTTAGCCTGGTGCTGCACAACCAGTAGGCTTTGATCACTGGACCTCAGGGACCTGCTGGGGGTGTAGGGACTTAGAAGATCACCAATGTAAGATGGTGCTTGTCCATGTAAGGCCCTATAGACCAGAACCAGGATCTTGAAATGAACCCTGAAGTTGACTGGCAGCCAGTGAAGCTGGAGGAGAAGCGGGGTGATGTGGGTGTGTTTGCAGGACTTGGTCAGAAGCTGAGCACAGGCGTTCTGAACCACCTGTAGACGGTTCAGGGAGGTTCTGCTCAGACACGTGAAAAGAGAGTTACAGTAGTCTAAGCGTGAGGAGATGAAGGTGTGGAGAACTGTCTCAAGTTCAGAGCGGGACAGAATGGGACTCAGCTTAGCAAGCTAATATTAACAAATCTGTTTTCAGTTCATAATTTGAGAAAAATCTTTATGTTGATTAAGTTTCAATTTGTGATCAAATGAGATATTTTAATACATTTCATTAATTAATATTTTCAGATAACATTCTGTCCAGTTATACGGCTCCAATAACGTCCACAAGTAGAAAAACAATCATCTGTCTTTCATCTTTCTCTGTTTCTCTGGAAAGTTGATATTTTTCTGACTTGATTTCCATCATTATAGTTTTATTCTTGTATTTTGTATATTTCACTCTCCTTTCCCTGACTGAAGTGACTGAACTACTCAAACGTTCACAGGAGAAGAACAATAAAAACACTCAAATTGATCTAAATCTGACTCCAGGCAGAAGCACTAGAGGACAGATTACTGCTCTGACTAACCTTTTGTAACATGATTTATTCTGGATGTCAAAACTTTTCAAGAAGAACGCCAAGAAGGTCATGTTTGAAGTCATTGGGTGCCACGAAAATGTGATTTTCCTAATTTAAATAAATTGTTACGGTTGCCAGTCTGGCCAGGGGAGAGCAGGAGCCAGGATCACCCAGCTCTGGTGGAACAGCCTGACACCGCCCCTCCTCCTCCTCTCTCCCGGGCTTCTGAGGAGCACAGCTGAGCTGCATCTGGTTGATTTCCTACACCTGTATAAAAAGGCTGTGCCTGCAGCAGTCTGGGAGGCAGCAGTGCAGGGATTCTGCTGTCCTCTTGGTTTGGTTTGGTTTGGTTTGGTTTGGTTTGGTTTGGTTTGGTTTGGTTTGGTTTGGTTTGGTTTGGTTTGGTTTGGTTTGGTTTGGTTTGGTTTGGTTTGGTTTGGTTTTTAAACTGTGGTAGAATTAAACTCTAAGTGATAAGTTTTGGATAGTGATGGAATGATGATACCTCAAGGAGTGTATTGACACACTAGACAAACTGTGTCGACACTGTATTGACACTGTGTTGGTCATTCAATAGTGACTCCTGCAGTATTTCTAAAATCATTGCAGGTAAATAAGATGGAAAAGCTTACATGCTGCAAACCAACACCAGGTGTGTGAGGTTTAATTTCCTGTAATTAAAATATATAATTGTGGAATTTAATTTACTCAATTTGTTAAGTTGTTTATGAAAGGAGTTTAACATTTGCTTATAACCTTTGTGTTAATACTACAATGAGTTGGCATGTTAAATCTTCTGAATGTGTCTTAATAAAAATCAAAAGTAGTTTTAACTTATGTAAATGTGGTAATCTCTGTGTTAGATCATACAAAATAAAAGACTAAATATGGATTCATTTATGCATTTTTATTGAGGAACAAAAGTTTTTGCAGTGTGTTTGCTCCAAGGCAATTTATCCTCTTCCCCTGCCTTAGAAAACACTCTTTCACAGGTTACAGATGAAGATGGCGTGCATAAGAATTGAAGTGCGAGTTGATAAAGGTGTGGATATAAATTCTGGTTATTTTTCCAATATTGTAATGGGTCTTGTGTTCTTGGAGCGTTTCTTTCAGCCAGGTAGCGTTGGACTTAAATTATGGAATTGGCTGTAGTATTAGAGGTCATCCTGCTTTCCTCAACCTCCATATCAAGGTGTCTCCAGAGATTGTGTCCTAACAAATAAATTGGAAATAAATCTGTTAATAATTGGTTTACTATCGCATGACAAACTTACACAGAAATAAACAAATATTCACAAATAAATGTGTTTTCATACCTGAACTGTGTTCAGAGGGTGTGTAACAGATGATTTTTGACAATTCAGATTTTTTTTTTTGTGATAATTTCAACATACCTGGGTTATCTACCAATTCATCACTGCCATGCCGAGCTCTATAACGCCTCAGCATTGATGAAGAGCTCTTATTGGAGTAAGACAGCTCTGTGGAGCAGAGCCGACACTTCACCTACAATAAAATAAATAGTTAATATATCTGGAAACAATATAAGCCTCTTACCAGAAAAAGTCTACAAACACATTTAAAATACAGAAATAACAGTAAACATTGCCAAATGGAGAAAACAATTTACCTTTTTGGCGTCAAAAGATCAAAATTATTCGAGACTGGGGAAAACTTCTTGGAACGATCCATGAAGTCAGCGGAGAAAAGTGAGCGTGAGGGTAAGGAAAAATCCAAAATCCAACAGCAAAACTATCCAACAAATCCGCAACATGTCGATACAGTTTGTTTCCTTATAAACACAATTTGGTGCGGCGCATCCAAACGACACTTCCTGTGTCGGTCACTTGATATTTTTTACAGCGACACACGCACCGATACGGGTTTCACTCTTGTGCAGTCGACACTGTGTTGACACGCCAGTGTCGTTCGTCCCATCACTAGTGCTCACTCCTCACCCCTGCCACATGGACCTCAAGGGATAAACCATGCATGTTACTTCTGCGATTTAGATCCGGGGCTTCATCCCAAGTAGCCGGGCCTAACGCCGCCCCTGGTTGTCTGAAGTCTGTTGCACATATGTTTGAGGTGTTTTTTGCAGAGCAAAGCTGCCCTTCTGGTGGGAGGGTAACTCTGAAGTGCCTTTTTTTCCCTCCACCTGAACCAATCCTCATGTAACCCTCTTATCTCTATTAAGGTAGAGCGACTCAGGGTTGTGAATGACCACAGTCACCAATTCTTGTCATGCGTCTTGCCCATGTATGTCTGATCTCTGAATTGTGTGTACTGAAACTCTAATTTCTCTCTGGGATTAATGAAATATTGATTGATATCAACATCCTATTGGAGAAACAAAATTCATCATTCTAGAACTTCAAGTGGGACCACTCAAAATCGCTTGGGGGGCCGGAAAACTTTGGACCTGCTTTTTCTACTCAGCTCTCACTGAATAAGATGATGACAGATGATAAAAGCCCTGTTTTCACTCGGCTCTATTTCTCCTCATCCCTCCCTCTGGCAAACAACAAGAAAACATCCCTGAAAGTGTCTGGATCTAATTAGACTTAATCGTTTCTGCATGTTTGTTTGCCTGCAGAGAAGCCTGACTTGTAAAACTGGACTTTTAGTTGGAGCCACATCATTAGTCGGTGTTCATGTTTCTGGGTACCAGCTCAACACTCAGCATGGAGCCGAGGGGCCAGACGGAGACAAAGCTGGTCTGTTCGGCTCTGGTGGAGGCGGGGGGGGGAAATGTAGGAGAAGGAGGGGAGAAAGTGGAAGCAAAATAAATGAGAGGAAAAGAGGAGAGGGAGTGAGGACTGATGGGTTGGAGGGGAGGGGAGAAGGCGACGGTGGAGGAGGGGGCCGGGATCTGATCCCTTGCATATTTGTGTGGTTCAAGCTCAAGTTGGTTTCTTTGCTTTCAGACGGAACGCAGCATGGTCAGCCGGTGAGTAACCATTTCCATTTCCTCTCTCCACGTCTGACCTGAGAGCAGAAAGACGTTTTGCATTCAGATCTGAAACAGGAGAAAGCAGCGGAGCTGAGTGAGTCAACAGAGGAGGTTTTAGATGTCGCAGCACGACTTCTACTTTGTGCTTTAAGCAGGAGCCGAGCACTTAGAGGAAAGATAAAATACTCGTGAAATAAATGAAAAAATAGACTCTGATTGACAAGAAACGTGAAAGTATTTAGTAAGAACTGCAGATGAAAGGACATTTATTTAGTTTTTTCTGTAAACAAATTCAAAGTATAAATAAAACTTGTGAATCACTCAATGATTCAAATCTTTTTCTCTCACAATAAGATTGTTTTTATTTCCCCTTAGCCTAAGAAACATCGGCCACGCCTCAAATCTGAAGAAACACAAAACCGAGAGAGCGTATTCCCATTTCAAATGCACAATTAAAGCTGCTTGTGATTCCAAACAGTGTTTCCATTTACGCCTGTCTCCAGTGTTGAGCATCCCGCTGCAGGATACAGGAAGATCTTTGACACCGTGGAGGAGCTGAACGAGCCGATACCGGCAGAAATCAGTGGTGAGAAAACCTGACAGAGACCCAAACAGGCAGCATCACAAGAACATGGCGTCATCTTTCCATCAAGAGAACTGTGGCGCTACTTTAAGGGAATTAATGAGACGCGATGCTCTCCTGTTCACTCAGGTGTTCTCCCGCCATGGCTGCAGGGAAGCCTTCTCAGGATGGGTCCGGGTCTTTTTGAGGTGGGAGACGAACCTTTCCATCACCTGTTTGACGGACAGGCCATCATTCACAAGTTTGACCTGAAGGACGGCCAGGTGACCTACCACAGGAAGTAAGGTTTCCCTCCTGGTTTTGATTTTGTGACAACGTTCATGAAGCGAAAGGCTGACTTGGAGTGTTTTAAAGGATTCTTCTGTGAATATTTGAGTCTGATTTTGGGTTTTCCAGCTTTGGAAGGGTTGTGAAAGAGCAACCAAGAGAATAGAGACAGAGCAGCCGCAAGCCACAAACATTCCACAAAGGATTTCTCTGGCAGTGAAAAAGTCTTTTCATCTTCCTGAAGAGTGGATGTTGCAGGAATGATGGGTGTGGAGAGAAAACAGCGGTCCCGTTAGTTAATGTGGTGCATGATGAGTGTGATTTTGGGGTTCAGGTTCATCAGGACGGATGCGTACATTCGCGCCATGACAGAAAATAGAGTCGTCATCACCGAGTTTGGTACGGCAGCCTACCCAGATCCCTGCAAAAACATCTTCTCCAGGTAAGTCCAACCAAAAGGTCTCCGATCTCGTTTGGGTCTTGGAATTTTGAGCGGCTGCATTTCTGACTGATTCATTAAATATTTGATAGAGATCACATGGATCTGTGTGGATTCCCTACATGTGGAAGGATTCAAACGTCAACATCTCTGTGACGTTGTGTCCCTTTAGGTTCTTCACCTACTTCAAAGGCATCGAGGTGACTGATAACTGCATGGTAAACATTTATCCAATCGGTGAAGATTTCTACGCCGTCACAGAAACCAACTACATCACCAAGGTTGATCCAGACTCTCTGGAAACCGTGAAGAAGGTGTGCCGATCTGTTTGGAATGAACGTTTACGGGAACGATTCTCGGAATGGCAATAACACATTTTAACAGTTGGAGAAAGAGAGAGTGCATTCCTGTTTTCACAGGAGATCATAGAGCAATGGTCCCCAACTCCCTTCCCCAAGGCCCGCTGTCCAGCATGTTTTAGTTTTGTCCCTGCTCCAACACACCTGGTTTTAATCAGCAGGTGAATAACAGGCTTCGGCAGAGCTTGATAACTTAGTTAACAGGTGACTCGAACATTCAATTACGTGTGTTGGAGCTAGAACAAGCTGGATAAGGACAGGGGTGGACTGGGACCAAAATTCGGCCCTGGCATTTTTACAAATCGTCGGCCCTCAGTTGGCCCTCCCCATTGGGAGAGCGGTGGGGGTGGGGGGTGTTGCCGCCCACGGACTCGTCTCTAGGCCGAATGTGAGATCTAACATGGACTGGGACTGTTAAATTACAAGCAGGGCCAGACCGCTGCGACTGGGAGCCCTGGCCTTCCAGATCAGTTCATTCTCCACGGGCGGAGGTCAGCGGGACATTAGCTACATGCTAACGTGGTAAAACAACTCCTACGTCATCGCTCTACCGCGTTTTTCTTGCTATAAACGTCTGGACAAACTCGGTTAGCTTCGGGTTACCATGCAGCTAATGTTCTGCAGATCACCAACTGTGGAGTAGTGTCGGCCCGAGCTGGACAAGTAGCCCACTTGGCTAAGCGGCCCACCGGGACAGTGCCAGAATGCCGGATAGGCCAGGACACTCCCCGACCAGGACTGCCTACTCCTGGATTAGGGAAGCAACAGAAACATGCTGCCATAGTAGGCAATAAAAAATAATGTCCTCTCAAACCCCAGTGAGCCGTGTCGGATGACTGCTCACACTGATCAGGTTCTGTTGGAGGTTTCTTCCTGTTAAAAGGGAGTTTTCCTCTCCACTGTCGCTACATGCTTGCTTAGTATTAGGGCTGCTGTAAAGTCTCACAAGTCAGTGACTTGTTGTAACCTGCTGGGTTCCTTATATAGGAAACTTAACTAATTGGCTTAATGATCTAAACTCAGTTGGAGTGTTTACTTTGTGAAGTTCCTTGAGACGACTCTTGTTGTGATTTGTTTGTATATAAACAAGCCAAAACACCTGACTAGAATAATTACTCAATAAATTAAATATATTTCATATTTTTACTTCCAAATGTTTTTGTTTCAATTAAATTTATTATTTTTTATATTAAACATATTATTCATTATTCTAAATGTGGTTATTAACTGGATGTATCTGATGCTTCTGGTGTGAATCCCAGTTACACCTAAACCTCCCCGCTGAGGGACGATAAAGGAAGCTTCTGTTTCTCTTCCTAAATCAGGTGGACCTGTGTAAGTACGTCTCTGTGAACGGGGTCACCGCCCACCCCCACACGGAAGCAGATGGCACCATCTACAACATCGGCAACTGCTTTGGGAAGAACATGAGTCTGGCTTACAACATCGTCAAGATCCCACCTGCGCAGAAAGGTGGGTCCACCTGTCAGAAGGTTCCGGTGAGGAGAGCAAAACGTGCTGAATAAACATAGATCTATACATCTATAGACGCACACATTTTATTTTTTTTATAATAATTATTTTTCAATGGTGCCAGATTTACACGGGGTGTTTGTTGCTGCCTGCGTGCATCGTGGCACCTGGCCTTTCATAAAAATGATGAGTGACATGAAGTAAACGAAGTTAAAGAGATACTTTGCTACTTTTTCATAATTTTAAAGGATTTTCTTGAGCCAGTTTGTGCTAAAATGACCTTCACAGGGTTAACAAAATATCTCTCAGACCACCATCGCCCTCTGTGGCCAGAATGCTGCATTTGCAACTTCAGAGTGCCATTCTGCTCCGTTTGACTTAGAAAAAAATTTGAGCTGGCGTACCTGGTGCTGCAGTCTGGTTCCAGCATGTTTTAGATCATGAACACAGCTGATTTGTTTAGTTTAGTGACAAATCACTCCTGTAGACACCAAGGAAGGCTGGGGAGACGTTTACGCTGTTGGATTAAGGTGTTAAAACGATGAACGCACAGCGAGGAGATAGGTTTTGCTTTCAGTTCTATTAACCCTTCTGTTGTGTTAGGGTAAAAAAGGACCCGTTTTCAAGTTTAACTGTGTAAAAAGTACACTTTCCTTTTTTGTCCTGGAATGAGGCTTCATCTAATCCTCAGACACACCTATTTAAATGCAGCAAAATCAATTTTTACAATTTTAGTAAATTCTAAAGGTCTCAAATAAAATAAGTTACATTTATGGTGTTACGGGTCCAAAATGACCCGGCAGAGAAAACTGACTGTTGTATGCGTCACTTAAAAGCTATGGGTTGCTCTGAGGATCAATTATGGCCCAATGTGCACAGTTATGGCCCACATCACGCACGCACGCACACACACACACACACACACACACACACACACACACACACACACACACACACACACACACACACACGCACACGCACACATGCACGCACGCACACACAGTTCTAATTATGGTTTGTTTTCATTGTTTAGATTATGGTTAATTCAGAACAACACACCTGCACTAACTAAATTCAATTCAAAGATACTTTATTAATCCCAGAGGGATTATTTAAAATTGTTCAGTTTATGGTCAGTGCAGGTGCATGTGTGTGCACACAACCACACACACTGTTGTTTATCATTGTTCATTTTATGGTTAAAGAGCAAGTCACCCCCAAATCAACTGTTTGTCTGATAAACTATATAAATGAGTGTCTAATCGTGCTACAGACACGTGTAGTCAATAGTTTTGCACTTTAGTGCATTTTAGTGAAACTTTAAATTTTCTGCCTAAAACTGTCAGTGTTGTGCCGTTGTCAGGTAAAAACTCTGAACTACATTTGAATTTAAATCTGCCACCGCTATTGGCTAAGAAGTACACAATGACATTAGCTGTTACCATATGATGTCACAACACTGTTGTGAGCCTGTTTGTGTGTATTTGTTAGCGGCTCTTCCCTCTCAGTCTGCCAGGCAACAGCATTTGTTGCATTTTTCAAACAGGAAGTGGGAGTGGAGTAAGTGTCTCGTTGGGGTGGGGGGGTGGTGGGGGGGGTGGGGGGGGGGGTTGGCTTGCTCTTTAAACTGTTTGGTTATTTGGTGTGGTTAAATAAAAGTTGGTTTTATGGGAAAAAAATTGACTTGTTGTCTTTATCCTACCATTTATCTATGTGGGTCTGTTTTGACCAGAAACACCAAAGATGTTTATTGTTAACAATTTTAAATAGTAAAAAAAATTACAAATTTTGTTTTGGTAGGTGTACTCTAATATTATAGTTTATTATTACTCATTCTATAAGAAAAAGAAATATATTTAGTAAATTTAAGCAGTTTTTGCAATCAAACAGAGTGGTATATTTTAATATACTGTGTCTGTGGAGCCAACTAAAAAACTTCGCTATTCACACACTAGCTGAAAAACAACATTTGAAGAAAACTGGTGATTTTTAAGCCTTTTCAAGCATTTTCAAATCATGGGTCCAGATGGGCCCGCCAACACCACAGGTGTAAACAGCTTTCTAACACAATACAAGGGCTAAACAAACACTAGATGCGAAAAGCAAGCCCATCCTGCACAGCCTCCCTTTATTTTCATATCTGTGTCTTTAGATGAATCCGACCCCGTAGAGAAATCCCAAGTTGTGCTCCAGCTGCCCAGCAGTGAGAGGCTAAAGCCCTCCTACGTCCACAGGTGCAGAACAAGTCTGTCCTCTTCCGTGTTTTAGTGTCTGAGTTAAATAAAAACCTGTTTCCTACGTGTTTTTGTCTTTTTGTGTCTTTTTAGTTTCGGGATGACCAGCAACTATTTTGTGTTTGTGGAGCAGCCGGTGAAGATCAACCTGCTCAAGTTCTTGTCCGCTTGGAGCGTCAGAGGAACCACGTACATGGACTGTTTTGAGTCAAATGAAAGCATGGGGGTAGGGGACGGGGGGGTTCCTGTTGATGTAGCTTTAGAATAAACAATCTCTGGTTCTTCAGTCCTGAGAAAAGCAGAAATCATGAGATGCTACGAGCCAATGTGTGTGTGTGTGTGTTGCAGACATGGTTCCATCTGGCCACTAAGAACCCAGCAGATTACCTGAAGAACCACAAGTTCAGAACTTCAGCCTTTAACGTCTTTCATCATATCAACACCTATGAAGAAGAAGGGTTCGTTGTGGTGGACCTCTGCACGTGGAAAGGGTGAAAATGAAGTGCTGCTGTTTTATTTGTGTGCTGCTGAGGGGTTTCTGATGACCTCTGACACAGAGTTGTGTCTGTCTGCAGACACGACTTTGTGTATAACTACCTGTACCTGGCCAACCTGAGAGAGGAGTGGAAGGAGGTGAAGAGAGCAGCGGTGAAAGCTCCTCAGCCTGAGGTCAGACGATACGTCCTGCCGCTGGACATCCACAGGGTGAGGACAGAAACACGTCTGGATCGTTGTGTGCTGGTCACAACAACTCATTGTTGCAGTTTTTTCTCCCTGATTTGACCAGATTATTGTCACACACCTAAAAACGGGGCTCTGACAAAGACAAGCAGAAACAGAGGGCTTCAATACTAAAATGAAATGATCAAATGTGACTATATTAAAGGTCAAATGTGTAAGATTTGTACAGTTTAATGTTCCCAAAACTTCTTGGAAGAAAGGTTACATTGAAACAGATTTCCTTCTCAGTTGGCTGGGGGGTTGTCAAGATTTTCTCCTTTCAAAAAAAGCCAAAGAGGGACGTAGTGTTTGTTTACGATCGTTGAGCCTGTGGGGTTGCTGAGTCTGCGAAAGCTAACACTGCAGCAAACAGAAGCAATCTCGAAGTTATATATTTTTGTTTTCCTCTAATATTGGGTAAAGAAGGCTAGAGGCTAATGTTAAGCTAACAATGCTAATGGTGAATTAGAAGCAAATAGTCAGCTCTAAAACAATCTCAAACTACTTTTTCAATTACCAACAACTGGAAACTGATCTACTTATCAACTTCCTGTGTATGACTCGTATTCCCTTGTCATTTAGAATCTCCTGTTTCTGATCTGTAGCTGGCAACAGTTGCTTAAAGCGGACATGTTTGTTTTGATACATGGACTGCCGTTCTCATATGTGACCACAAGATGTCACTCTTACTTCATTCTTGCACAATCAATCAATCAATCAATCAATCAATCAATACTTTATTAATCCCAGAGGGAAATTAAAGTTTCAGTACACACGATTCAGCGATCAGACATACATGGGCAAGACACATGACAAGAATTGGTGACTGTGGTCATTCGCAACCCGAGTCACGCTACCTTAATAGAGATAAGAGGGTTACATGAGGATTGGTTCAGGTGGAGGGAAAAAAAGGCACTTCAGAGTTACCCTCCACAGGGAGGGCAGCTTTGCTCTGCAAAAAAACACCTCAGACAGATATGCAACAGACTTCAGACAACACAACATAACATGAGACTCCAATAGGAAGGCGGGGGGGGGGGGTCTGGGATCCTGTTTCCCCCAGCGAGAGCAGCCATCTACGGCGCTCATCAACAGTACAGTCACAGGTGGGAGGAAGATCTTGAGAGAAGCAAAGAGTACATTGACTCCTACAGTTGATGACCTCGCCAGGCTTAAGTCCACCAATCCGAGGGGTAGGTCGGGTTTTCACAGCATCTGTCTGCATTCCTTCGTGGGGTTTTTTAGTTGCTTGCTGCTCAAGGCTACCAGGGCGTCAGATTCAGATAAGAATTTGTTTGGGTCAGGCTGAGATAATTTTCCTCTCTGCCCTCAGTCTTTAAACTGATCATTCCAGTCCTTCAGTGAAGCCAAATTTGAGTTTTTAAACCTGTCCATACCGTCCGGTGACTCTCTCCGAGATGACATCCATTTTGCGCACTAATACCGGTATCGCAGCTAGAACATTGTCCAGATTATGATTCACCTCGAGTAACGTCCCAGTCTGTGAAGTCTCCACATGGACGGTGCTTTCCGTGGGTGCGGGTCGCCCTCCAATCGCTCCCGTCTTCCCAAATGTCCAGAAAACCAGATATCCTCCCACTCCAATCAGGAGAAATCCAGTGATCATCAGACCAAATATCCACACGTCTTTGATGTCCTCACTGGACAGCTGGGAGAGGAATATGATCTTCCTCTCCTTCCAGGAATCCAAAATATACCCCACCGGGTGCGTACCTTGTGGACATGTGGGAGGCCCCAGCTCCGTTCTCATTGTTGAAAAAATCTTATCGATCGCATTGAATGACCAGTTTATCAAATCCATGGTTAGTAAAAATAGAGTTTTCCAGAAGAAATGCAGAGAAGCGCTCTGTGGGCAGACAGGAGAAAGAGCCTTGGGAAATGTTAACATTCATTTTCTGAACTCCTGTTTGCAGATTCTTGAATAACCAAACACTGAAAATTCTTATTTCCCTCTGACTGCAGCACTTTGTGCTTCACAAAACATTTGTTGTGATAAAAACTGAGTCTGGAACTTTATTTGCTTCTAAAATCTTTTCACCACCTCTGTGAAGCGAGTGCATATTTCTTTGCTTGTGTCCAGGAAGAGCGGGGGAAGAACCTGGTGTCTCTGTCCTACACGACAGCAACCGCTGTTCTTCACAGCGATGGGACCATCTGGCTGGAACCCGAAGTGCTGTTTTCTGGACCAAGACAAGGTAACACACACACATGCACACACACACACACACACGCACGCACGCACGTGCAGCACTTGCAGGCAGGTGTGGCTTTCTGCTTGTTTATGGTGAAATGTTAGCTTTTTTTATCTGCACGGTGAATATTTTGCATGTATTTAAATGTCAAATTAAGTCATATCATTTCAGATGTTTTTATGCATCTGTTTCATGGTTGATATTTTATTTCTCTGTCAGCGTTTGAATTTCCACAGATCAACTACTCTCAGTGTAGCGGTAAGAAGTACTCCTTCGCCTACGGCCTAGGACTGAACCACTTCATCCCTGACCGGGTAAAGCAGTGGTAACACACACACACACACACACACACACACACACACACACACACACACACACACACACACACACACACACACACACACACACACACACTCACACATGTTACCTGTTTGTTTTTTCAGATTGTTAAACTGAACGTGCAGACCAAAGAAACCCGGGCGTGGCAGGAGGACGACTGTTACCCATCAGAACCGCTCTTCGTTCCAACGCCAGGAGCCACAAAGGAGGATGATGGTGGGACCCCTTAGCATCTAGAGGCTTTTTCTAACTCTGACTCTAATATTGGTGGCATAAAATAATTCAGCCTATCCGTGGGAGCAGCTCCTGCTCATCCTGTCCCATCCCCACAGGCGTGCTGCTGAGCATTGTAGTGAAACCCGGAGCAGAGAGGCCCGGGTTCCTGCTGGTTCTAGACGCCGTGGAGCTGAAGGAGCTGGCCAGGGCAGAGGTCAACACCATCATCCCCGTCACGTTACACGGGATGTTCAGACCAAAACCTTCATCCTGAAGCCGTCATGTTCTTATGCACTTGGGTTGAATCTCCACCGCAAATAGCTTCAGCATGATAATAACTTTAGAAGTGTGTGTGTGTGTTTTAATGCATTAATTGTGTACATAGCATGGGGCGAAGGTGGCACAGGAGTTAAGTGCTCGCCTCCGTAATCGGAAGGTTGCAGGTTCGAGCCCCGCTCAGCCTGTCGCTGTCGTTGTGTCCTTGGGCAAGACACTTAACCCACGTTGCCTGCTGGTGGTGGTCGGAGGGACCGGTGGTGCCTGTGCCCAGCAGCCTCGCCTCTGTCAGCGCGCCCCAGGGCAGCTGTGGCTACATCGTAGCTCATCCCCACCAGTGTGTGAATGGGTGGATGACTGATTGTGTTGTAAAGCGCCTTGGGGGGTTCCAGGACTCTAGAAGGCGCTATATCAAATACAGGCCATTTACCATTTATCTAAACACAGGTGAGAGGAAACAGTGCATGTATTCATGTGTATATGAATGTTTTCCTTTTCCAATCATAATGCAAACATTTAAGCAAGGCTGTGATAAATGTGCTTCACCTTGTCTAGTCGTCATTTTTTAAAATAAATCTTGCAACATATTACGTTTCTTCTCAGAACACAAGATCTTTTCTTAACATGCAACATTTTCCGTTTCAAATCTCTTTCTTGAGCCAGTGTGGGCTAAAACGACCCTTTAAAGGCTTAATGGAATGTCACTCAGACCCCCACCGCCCCTGTGGCCAGAATGACGCACTTGCAACTTCAGAGTTGCCATGCCAGAGCTGCTGTCTGCTTCCAGCTCGTTTCCTGTATGTTTTAGATCAGGCGTGTCGAACTCAAATTCACACCGGGCCAAAATGAAAAACCCATCCCTTCATTTACAGATCTGTACGGCTGAACCTTTTTCTGTGGAAACAAACTTATTTTTGCAGCAACACTGAATGTGGAATAACCAACTTACACATGAGCAAATCGATTTTAACTAAAGCACACATCTGTGGTTGTCATTAGTTATGTCTCTTCAAAACCAAACTCAAAACCCATTTGTTCCGAACCGCTTATTGTTTGTGATTTAATCTGTTTTATTCTGTTTTCTTGTCCTTTAGTTGTTTTATCCATCCATCCATCCATTTTCATCCACTTATCCGGAGTAGGTTCGCAGGGGCAGTAGTCTAAGGCGAGAGGCCCAGACTTCCCTCTCCCCAGCCACTTGGGCCAGCTCCTCCGGGGGAATCCCACGGCGTTCCCTGGCCAGGTGAGAGACATAGTCCCTCCACCGTGTCCTGGGTCTACCTTTAGGCCTCCTCCCGGTTGGACGTACCCGGAAAACCTCACCAGGGAGGCATCCAGGAGGCATCCTGACCAGATGCCCGAGCCACCTCAACTGGCTCCTCTCGATGTGGAGGAGCAGCGGGTCTACTCCGAGCCCCTCCCGAATGACCGAGCTTCTCACCCTATCTCTAAGGGCGAGCCCAGCCACTCTTTGGAGAAAACTCATTTTGGCCGCTTGTGTCCGCGATCTCGTTCTTTCGGTCACTACCCAAAGCTCATGACCATAGGTGAGGGTAGGAACGTAGATCGACCAGTAAATCAAGAGCTTCGCCTTCTGGCTCAGCTCTCTCTTCACCACGACAGACCGGTACAACGCCCGCATCACTGCAGATGCAGCACCAATCCGCCTATCGATCTCACGCTCCAGTTTTCCCTCACTCGTGAACAAGACCCCGAGATACTTAAACTCCTCCACTTGGGGCAGAACCTGACCTGGCGAAGGCATTCTACCCTTTTCCAAACCAAGACCGTGGTCTCAGATTTAGAGGAGCTGATTCTCATCCCAGCTGCTTCACACTCGGCTGCAAACCGCTCCAGCGAAAGCTGAAGATCACGTTCTGATGAAGCCAACAGGACCACATCATCTGCAAAAAGCAGAGACCTGATCCTCAGGCCACCAAAACGGATGCCCTCCACACCTTGGCTGCACCTAGAAATCTTGTCCATAGGATTTCTCGGCGCGTGACTATTAAATTATATGGGGTTTTTTTTCTCCCACATTTTTCCTAGGATGCATTTGAGGTCAAACTTATTTGGATTTCTGCCCCCTTGTGGTAAAAAAAGCTACATTTAATTTAAAAACTGTTTAAAATTTCTTTGGTGTAAAATGAACTAAGTCACCAAAAACAAGAGTTTTAGTTGAGTTGAAACATTTAACAAACACGTTAGCTACTTCAACTCTCCTTTCAAAGCAGTTTATGTGACAAGCAGTGAGAAAAGCAAATGAGTCAAGTTTAGCAATTAACAAATATTTATTTCTATTCAATTCAATTCAAAAATACTTTATTAATCCCAGAGGGAAATTAGAGTTTCAGTACACACAATTCTGAGATGAGACATACATACATGACAAGAACTGGTGACTGTGGTCATTGGCAACCCGAGTCGCGCTACCGTTATAGATCAAGAGGGTTTATACGAGGATAGAGTCAGGGGGAGGGAAAAAGGCACTTCAGAGTTACCCTCCACAGGGAGGGCAGCTTTGCTCTGCAAAAAAACACCTCAGATAGATATGCACACAGACTTCAGACATTACACAACATAAGTGTCCACTAGGTGGGATGGTGGGTTGGGGACTCTCCAAACATCAGTGCATGCAGCCAAAATAAGCAGCGCTCGTCACCTCCGTTTGGACAGGGTAAGGAGGTATTTGGGTTAGAGAGCACAGTGACTCCTGGAAACAATTCAACGGCCTTCACTGGTCACAGTCCCGCCCAGGCTGGAATAGGGAGACTGAGTTGTCATAACGACAGCAGCATTCCACATTTCTTCTGAGGGGGAGTTATCACTTCAGCCTCAAAGGCTCAAGGGCACCAGATTCAGATAAGAACTTGTTTTGGGGACAGACAGAGATCATTTCCTCTCTGTCTTAAAGTTCTGTTGGTCCTCAACCCCTCTAGATCCAATAATGGCGTAATTAATCTATCCCAATCCGCGCTGGCCCGTCCACAACTCACTCCTTGATGGAATCCACCTTCTGTGCCAGAGCCTGAATCTCAGCCAAAGTTCCAAGCTTACGACTCATCTCGACAATTATAGGAGTTTGTGCATCCACAGCGAGGTGTAATCCATCCCTGAGCTCCGGGATTGAGCCAATATTCCTCGACAGCTCGTTAATTTTCCGGTAAGCCAGGCAACCGCTCAGGCCAAACAGCAGGAATCCTGACACCAACGCCACGAATACCCAGACATCTTCAGAATCCTCTACAGACAGCTGAGAGAGGCAGATCAGGTTCCACTGTTTCCAGGAGTCCATGATACACCCAGCTGGCTCTGTCCCAGAGGGGCATCCGGGAGACCCTTCTCCCGTTCTCATCGTTGACAAAATGTTGTCAATCGCATTGAGACCAGCTGACCAGGTCCATTTTTAATAATTTCCAGTTTCCAGAAAAAATGCAGAAAGCTCCGTCCACCCAAGGACAGACAAAGAGCCTTGGGAGAAGATAGGGAGGAGAGGAGGAAAAACGCGTCTGCACTCTCCAAGAGCCGGAAGAATAAAGCATCATACAAATTCATACATATTAACAGCATTTATTTTACATTTGTAATTACAGAATGATATTATAGTTATTTTGTGTAAGGCCTGAGGTCATTTAAAAACAAAATCTATTGTTAGACACAATTGAATGTTTTTTCTTGTTTTAGAACATCAAACGACGGGCAAATAGTCAAAACGTTGAAAAAACGAAACACAAAGAGGCACTTTTGCAGCATTTTTCCACAAACGTGTTTAGATGCGACACCTCCTGGATGGTACACACCAGTGTTCCGATTATTGATGTAAAACATGATGAATTTCTGACTGTAAGTTTTGATCATTCTGTACAAACACCCATAAAAGATCCTTGTGAGGGAAAACATCTGCATTAGTCCAACAGCAGCTGAGATGGTGAGGTATGTGAGGATGGAAGCTTCTACACACGTAGAACAACAGACCGCTGCTTCTCAGTCGACAGCTGATAGCGCTGCTGTTTGATGATGTCCAGAGAATCTCCAAGAACCTGAGTAGGAAATCAGATCAACCCAAAACCACCAAACCAATCCCAAACGCGTTCGTTAGAACATTGTTTTACCTTCCTGGTGTCCTGCGGCAGAACAACTCCATCGTCCCACATCCTGCCAGAGGAGAAGAACGCAGAGCTCTCCTCCTTTAACCTCTCGTTCAGATTCTCCTCCTGTTGCTCCTCGTCGGGGGGGAGCAGGGAGGCGGCGTGGCCTGGCGCGGTCAGAGACACGCGGGCGTTGGGCCACAGAAACAGGAAGTTAGGGTCAAAGGCTCGTCCACACTGGAGGCAAACAGCAGAGAAGAGAATACACATCTACCTTTAATCTACTAAAACATGCCGGATCTATCCGATAAAACGCGCGGACGACCTTTCTACGGGTCTGACAGCATTTCCTTTTGGACAAAATATCACATTCAGCAGGCAGATTTCCAAAATAAAAGCCCTCAAAACATTCCCACGTAATCATTCCAGTCAGGAAAGCACAACGGATTTGCTCACCATAGCGTAGCTGTCGGCGCCATGGCAACCACCTATCACCACAGTGATTTTTGGGACCGAGGCACAGGCTACCGCTGACATCATGGACCCCTGTGCCTTCAGGCGGTTGCCGTTCGCCTCCGCCTGAAAAGAACAGAAAGTTAGCTCATCACTCGTGCGCCGAGACAGAGCCGTGCAGCCAGGCTGAGCGGTCACCTGGGCTGCAGACAGAGTCAGAGCTGCTGCAGGAGCCGTGTTCTGGAGGAAGAGGAGCGGGACGTCTCTCTGGTCACACAGCTGGACGAAATGGCTCCCCTTCAGCGCGGCGTCACGCGACAGCACTCCGTTGTTGGCCACTATTCCCACCAGGTGGCTGAAAGCAAAAGTAACCATTTACTTTAAAACGCAAACAGCTGAGCTGGATAAATAAAACAACTATTGTGCAAAAAAAAATTCCTCATTTTGCTTTATTTTAATTTGCAACTTGAAGTGAAAGACGACATTTGATTTTCTGATGCAATTTCATGATTTTTTTATTGTTCGTTAAAGGAAAATAAAGTCAGGGAAAAGCCTCCGTTACCCAGAAATCTTAGCGAAACCAGTGACCAGCGTGGTTCCGTAGCGAGCTTTGAACTCCTGGAAGCGGCTCCCGTCTGTCAGCCGACTGATTATCTGAACGAAATTAGAACGAAAACCCAGATTTGAAGTCAGCGTTGACGTGAAAGCCTCCGTCTGCAGGACACACAGCTCTGCGCGTTCATGATTTAATGAGCGTTACCATCTTCACATCCAGACTGTGGCCGTAACTCTGAGGAGCGAGACCCAAAAGTTCTTCTGAACTGAACAGCGGCTCCTCTCCAGCGTCCTTCTTCACGCCCTCCTCCTCCTCCTCAGGCAGTTGAAAGTTGAGGGTGGATATGATGCTTCGGGTATAATCAAATGCCTCCTTTTCCTCCCACGCAAAATGGTCCACGCAGCCGCTCACCCTGGAACCAGACAGTGGCTCGACTCTAGCCGTGTCTTTGTGTGCGAGATGATTTATGAACCTACTCAGCATGAAGTCTGGCTCCTCCCAGCTCCTCCGGGGTCACCTCCTCTCCTGTAGCAGCTTTGACAAGAGGTGGGCCTCCCAGGAATATGGTTCCTATCCGGTGCACCATCACCGCCTCCTCTGCCATCGTGGGGATGTAAGCTCCACCCGCGGTGCACGAGCCGCACACCACCGCCACCTTCAAAACCCACCAGTCATCATTAGATCGGCTCTGCGAAGGTCTTCGTGGTCATCCCACCACATGAACACAAGTCCTCACCTGTGGGATCTTCATGGCAGACATGATGGCCTCGTTGTAGAACGTTCTTCCGCCCTGATTCTTGTCAGGAAAAATCTCAGACTGCACATTCAAACACAAAGAGGAGCTTAGAAGGAGAAGAAGAATGAATTACCAAGCAGGTCTTCCTGTACAAACGACCTGCAGCGGTAGGAAAGCTCCTCCAGAGTCAACCAGGTAGACACAAGGGAGGCGGTTCTGGATCGCTATCTCTTGGGCTCGTAGCTGCTTCTTCACCGTGATTGGATAAGCTGTGCCGCCTTTCACTGTGGCATCGTTAGCGATGAACAAACACCACAAGCCATTAATCCTTCCAATGCCTGGAAATAAACATGCATGTGTACTGGTGACACTTTTAATGAAGGTAAATAACAATAAAGCGATCAGTCAGCGGTTTCTGACCCGTCAAGCAGCCGGCTGAGGGGATGTCCCCGTACGGAAGACCCAAACCAGCAAACGGTGAAAGCTCCAGGAAGTCCTCATCATCCAGTAGGAGGTGCAGCCGATCCCTCACCAGCAACTTCCTGTTTCTCTGGGTGTGTCTGGCTATCCCGCTATCTCCCCCACCTTTCCTCACCTTCTCCTTTAGCTCGGAGTATCTAGCAAACGCAGAGAGGCAGAAAAAAAAAGTCTGGATTAAAGGGCAGACAAAATATTCCTTCTGATTTGAGAAAAAAGCTCAAGTGAAGCATTCATTTACAGGTCTGAGTGATGCTTGCTGCTGACCTACTTCTTGCGGCAGGCGATGCTGTGTCTAAGGTTTGCTTCATACACGTGTCGCTGGATGGGCAGAAGGGGCTGATCCAGAACTGGGAAGGCGCTTCTCAGAACCTTTCTCCTCCTCACGGCAGAGCTGACACAGCGAGCAGGACACTGCCAGTGCTGCTCAGCAAACCTGCAAGACAAGACTCGGGGCTTTTGCACAGCTTGATAAGAAAGGATGGCACAAAAAAATTCTTTTTTTTCTTTTTACATCTGATTACAGTGATGATCTCAGACGTTCACAGTGGCTGAAGATGAATTTGTGTTTTCAAAATGATAAAAAAAAAACTTGTCTGAAAACTTATTTCTGTGGCAAAATACCTGTCAGGTGGATAAATGATGTTTAGCAATGTTGACAACAAATAATGTGAAATAGTAACAGTCCAAAAATGTAAACAAATAGCATCAACTAAATAAAAACAATGATAAAACAGGTTTCCTGGTGAAACATAAATAATGTATCTGTAACAGCAGCATAAATAACGATTATTTATGATATTTGTTGTTGGCTAAAATTGTGTCAAAGGTCGTCTCTGACCCCAGCAGATCTAAATAAAGACTAACGATACGTTTCTACCTGCAAAATGCAGAACTTCTTACCTTATGATGCTGCGATGCATGTTTCACAGCTATAATAAAGATATTTACAAGCTTAATTAGCTAAAAAGACACCAAGTTGCTACAAACGAGAACAGTCTCTTCTTCTTTGTTGGATTTGTTGGATCGGATGATTGTGGAATGTGCATTACCGCCCTCTAGCGGCCAAAACGGGAAAGCAACATTTTACTCCAGCAGTGGTTCGTAATAACGAACGGAAATAAATGTATATTTTGTAGTTTTTTTTAAATGAAACATTAAATGAACTAATCTTTCAGTGCTACTTTAAACTCTTTACAGATTTTAATTTGAGTTAAAAATTATTTTATAAACTAAATATGTAGGTCAGACCTAAATATTTAGTTTGTAAATGTATGTTTAATTTAGAGGTAAATATTTATTTTACAAAATATATAATGTGTGGTTTCTCAAAAATTGTCCTTGTGTGTGTGTGTGTGTGTGTGTGTGTGTGTGTGTGTGTGTGTGTGTGTGTGTGTGTGTGTGTGTGCATGCGTGCATGCGTGCATGGTTGGTTGTCCCTGTGTTGCCCTGGAATGGACTGGCAATCTGTCCAGGGTGTCCCCGCCCATTTGTCCAGGGACAGATGGAGACAGGCACCAGCCCCACGCAACCCTGCGTGGATAAGCGGGTATAGGAAACGGATGGATGTTTGATTACGTTTCTTTGTTTTTACATTGACCTTTGTTCAGCATGGACGTTTGGTTTCTCTAAATCAGGCATGGGGAACCCTGGTCCTCGAGGGCCGGTATCCTGAACGTCTTTCTTCCTACACTTCATATTCAGTGGTTGATTCACCTGTTCTTCAGCTCATCAAGCTCTGCAGAAGCCTGTTAATCAGCTGCTGATTGAAATCAGGTGTGATAATACAGGGTTGAAACTAAAATATGCTGGATAGCGGGCGCTCAAACTGCTATTAGCGGCCCACTATGGACCAGGGTTCCCCATCCCTGCTCTGAATAGAAAATTGCGTTTGTTGTAATACCACCAAATCCCCACAAGACGGCAGCAGTGAGCTAGATAGCAGAAGCTGAGTTTATGTGCTGTTGAGGCTGCAGCCCTTACACATGATTACACATGCATTAACCAGTAGAGAGAACTATAAAATAACTTTGATTTTTTAAACAACTCATTTTATACCTCTAATACAGGGGTGTACAAGCTTTTTAAGATGAGGGCTAACATAATAAAGTTAAAAGCTCCCCTTGGCCAGAAAATTGTGATTTTTCTTTGACAAAAATGCAAAAATGAGATGTTCTGTATATACTGCTCAAAAAAGACCTAAAACACACATATGAATAAAAATCTGAATATATGTAAATGCTAGAAAGTGTTGCTCTTCATCAACACCCCGCTGTAGAGACAAAATCCCACCATTAAAAAAAAGTGGGATCTTCTCAAAATCACCATGAGGGCCAAAAATGGCCCTCGGGCCACATTGAGGACAAACCTGCTCAAATACACGAATGATCTGCACTTTATTCATCTCAGAATTGGGAGACTGTCTTATATTAATTAGTAATTAAGTAAGTACACTTGATTTTTATGGCACTTTTCACAGGATAAAAACTACAAAGTACTCCACAGTAAAATAAAATAAAAAATAAATAAAACACAAGTGTCTAAAACACAAGAGAAATTTAAAAAAAAACCCACAAAAGCATAAAAACTTGCCACAAGCATCAGTTTTTATTTGCAGGGTTTTGTTTTCCCACTGAGGGTCTGAGCCAGCTGGCCTGCCAGCCTCGTCCTCTGAAGCGGGGCTGCTAGTCAGGCTAGTCTGGGTCTAGGGTTACCAGTCAGGTACTTTACCAGTCAGGTACTTTACCAGTCAGCTAATGTGGTTTTGAACTGGGAAAAGAGACAATTGTCGCAGAAAAATGACATCATCAGCGAGGGCTTATTTTATCCAATCACCATACTGATTACAATGATAGCCGCTTATCTGTCAATAATAATTAGTTTTAACAAAATGATCAACATCTAATTTTCTTTTTTTTTAATCTCGACATTTTTACACATTTTTGCTCAAAATCTTTCGTACAATTTAGTATTTTCATAATTTGAGTTATTTTCTATTGCTAAACAAGATGCTTTTGTAATTGAGTTATTAATTTTTATATCTTCTAATGTTGACTGTAATTATATAATTTGAATAAATAGATTTATCTGCTGGCCTGGGGCCCTGCTGCTGATTCAGGAGAGTCAGGAGGAGGAGGAGGAGGAGGAGGAGGAGGAGTTGGGAGGAAGGCAGTCAGTCTGGAGGACGGGAGTCCCAACGGCAGTTTGGGAGAACCTCAGCGGGGAAAAGTGCGTCCACAACGTGAGAAGTCACCAGAAGGTCTCCGCGATGAGTTGGGGAACGGAGCTGTGGGTGAGTGTGAGCGCTTGAGTGTGTTTCCTTTAGTTTTTCTGTTTTTTTACTTTCGGGAGTGAACGGAAGGTGTTACCTTCGACGCTAGCTGCCCGGCTAGCCGCCGCTGTTAGCCGAAGCTAACCTGCGGGTCTCGGCGGTGACAGCGGCGGAACAAAAGGCAGGGAAGACGCTCTCCCAGCCGGTGCAGGACCTCCAGACCCCCGGGCGGGCAGGGATAATCCGCCCTCCGCTGCTGGGTTACTGGTTAACTTTATTAACACCGGTGTTGCTGAATGGATGCTTTTCGTTTGGTTAGTCGGGCAAGTTGGGAAGTTCGAGCTCCGTGTTTTTTGTTGTTTTTGTGTCACACCCAGTTTCTGTTCGGCACCACGGTGAACGAAGACCACCGTTCAAAAACAAACTCCTCCTTCACGTCCTTTCGCCGCCGCTCGTCCGGTCTTTTGTCCGAACTTCCACGTGATTTTCAACTGGTCTGGGTGCTGAAGCACTCTTCTAATGTTTGCCGTTAAATCGTGACCCAGCCCGGGGAGAACAGGTGAGGTTCATAAACTCAGTCACGAGGATCAGAAATGGTGGTTTCTGGGTAAAATGAGGGCTTGTTGCACAATCGTGTTTATGATCAAGGGAGGAAGAAGTATGTAGTGATTTTCCTCAAGTTTGTTTTGGGGTGTTGGCTCATCACCAACTGTAACCAGAGAGGCGACCAGGAGCATCCCCCTCCTTTGTGTGTGTGTGTGTGCGTGTGTGTGCGTGTGTGTGTGTGTGTGTGTGTGTGTGTGTGTGGTAAGAGGAGGATTTGTCCTCCCTGATGATTCTCCTCCATCTGATGGTGTGGTTATTATCTGCTGTCTGAAATAAGCTGATTTTTTTGCTGCCTCAGCCCTCAGATGAAACACGAGCATGCTGCTGGAGACAAAGACACACTCTTTACTTGTGTGAAATTCAAAAGGCTTTCGAAAGGGATTACACGATATGATTCGACACGCGTTTTTCTTCTCCCATTCATGTATTCTCTTAATTTTTTAGAAATTACTCCTGCATTTTCTGCTAGTTTAGTACCAACATGCGACAGAGATCAGTGAATACAGGGGAGGGGATTGTCAGGGGGTTTATTAGATTTATTGTGTGGATCGGAAAAATCTGAAATGTGCTTCTTCCAGCTTTAGTTGTAGAGAAAGAAAGAAAGAAAGAGAAAGTTCCAGCAGCCAAACACACTCCGGTTTAACAACACCAGGTTCAGGATTATTTAACAGATTGAATCATCTTTTTGGCCGCTGTTGTTACAAAGCAAAACGCTGGTCGGAGTAGAAACCATCTGATGGGCCGTCGTAATCCCAGAATCCTCTGATGGGATTAATGTGGTTTCTGTCTGAGGTCAGATTAAGGATTATTGTCCAAAAGATATGTTGTAAACTCGTTGATTGGCTGTTGAGGTTTGTTCGATGAGTGCAGTTCAGATCTGATACAGTAAGCCGTATTTAAGCCCGGCCGGCTCAGTGTCGCCCTGCAGCTTTCAGCTCCCTGCAAACAGAACAAAGTGAGTGAGGAGGAACAGCCTAATTAGTAGGGATGTAAGAAAATATCGATATGGCAATATATCGTGATATTTTTTCCAGCAATATTATATCGATATTCAAAAGCCGTGTATCAGAAATATCGATATGGCAATATATTGTGATATTTTTTCGTGAGATTATTACATCGATATTCAAAAGCTGTGTATCTAATTCTTGAAAGAATTTACATGCAAACATTTGTGTATTTTCTTTTCGTTTTGTGCAATTCATTTTACACCCACTAGTTGGCAGCAGTGAGCAACAGGTTTTGTTTCCACCATTGAAATGTAAATCCCTCCATCATGGTTCAGATACCTCATGTTAAACATGTTGCGTATCGGTTTGGACTGTTTATTGAACATTCTTACAATAAATTCAGTAAAAAAATTGCTTGTAACATCTGACTGAATGTATCGCAATATATCGTGATATGTATCGTATCGCCACAATTTCAAAAATACACATCCCTGCTAATTAGGGCTGCAGCTATGGAATATTTTTGTAATCGAGTACTCTATCGAATCTTTTATCGATTAATCAAGTACTCTAATAAATGAGCCTTTTGCATTTGTAAACCATTATATCAAATAGCATGTTATAAAATATGAAAGTCCTCTTAAAATGAGCAAGCAATTGCCAGTTATTCTTCAAGTTTGATTCAAAATTAGTTTTCAAAACGTCAGCACTTCAGCTTTACTTCACAGTAAACAAATGCAAGCGGCTGCAGCCCAAACAAAACCAGAACCTCTCACGGTGCATGCGCAAACATGGCTCGCCAGCTATTTCCCTATTAACACACGTTCGTTTTAATTTCTACACTTTTTTTTCACACACACTAACAAGGATTGTCAAGAAAGCATGTTTGCCGTGGTTATGTCAAATTATACTGATCACAGAACATTTATTTACTTTCTTTCGTTTTCCTCTCATAAATACCGGTGTCCTCCTGCAGCAATCCCGAGGCAACAGACATCAATAACAACACAGTAAAAAGTGCGACGTGTTGTAAAAACTGCTATTTTTAGCACATTTTAAGACCGACGTGTTGCTACCAGATGCACAGCGTGAGCTGAAACTGAGTGCTACAAATAAAAAAGTCGCACAGTGTCCGCAGAATATACAGAAATACAGGCTAAAATGCATTATCTTGTAGAGGCTCCGAGTCCACTTGCAGAAGTGACATTTACAGGTGCTGCAGCACGGAGGAAGTGGTGTTGTGGTGGGCTAAATCCATTTTACAGTATTTACACTGGACTACGTTTTCTGCCTTGGTCCCACACCTTTGATATTTTCTGTCTTTTTCACACTCCACCGGGGTCTACGTTGTCCGCCACGGCTTAAGAGAAAGTTAAGGGGGCATTATGGAAGTTTGACAGCCAAAACATGTATAGAAATAATAAATTTCTTCTTCATACATTCTCCTGCAATGCCCTGGTCCTGTAGAATGAGCCCTGGCATTTTTACTGTGATTGTCTGTTTTTCTGTAAAATCACAGAAAAAGAGAGATGCTCGGGTCGAGCAGGCTGCTTCATTCACGCTCAGGCATCGCCCGTAGCATTTGCTATCCGTAGATTTAGCAGCAGAGAGAGAGGCAGTGCCACTTTGTCGCTGTTCCTAACGCCTAGTGACAAACCTAGCTACATTTCTGAGGACACTTAGCTACTTTCTGTAGAACTTTCTTCTAGATATTTCCTGCAAATTAGCAACAAAATAGCCATTTTTGCTCCGAACCGTTCATTGAACGTTGTTTCTGCTGTCATGAAATATATAAAAGTTACAGATACAGAAGACATTACTGGTGATTTAGCTCACCTAGTAAGACGTTGGACCCTCCTACAGGAGATCCGAGTTCGATTCTGGATGTGAACATAGTTTATTTAGTTTCTTTTTTACATGAATGGTATATTTTTTTACAGTAAGACACCCAAATTTTTATTTGAGACTTGCCGAACGGCATTGAATTCACAGATAAAAAAAAATGTGGGTTCAACTTTCATTTTGGAACAATTTTTCAAGCAAGGGAAGGGAATGATCTGAGCATGCAGGAGGACTGACCCATCTTAAACCTTTGTCGGCTGTGCTGAAGAGAAAGGTACAGAACCAAATTATTTAATTAATTAGCTGCGTGTTCTCCTGTCCTCTGTCCTCACACACACACACACACACACACACACACACACACACACACACACACACACACACACACACACACACACACACACACACACACACACACACACACACACACACACACACACACACACACACACACACGGGTCTGTCTCAGCTGTTATTTTCGTTAAGGAGCGTGCACGTACAGCATGCGCGCCTCGTGCACGAGCCTACTATTGAAGCTGCCGTTAGGCTTTTGGCCTGAGGGGGCAATCGCGAGCATAAAAATTCAAAACTCCGTAAAGTCCCTTTAAGTTACATTCGCTACTCGCGTGTGCTTTCAGTGCAGTGTGTATGTGCGTCACTTATATTGGTCCGTGTGGCACATGACCCCAGGCAAAGCCATGAATTAATTAAACATGAATTAAACAAAGCCTTGAGGCAGAGAATTTGACTTGTTCGGCTTTTTTGTACTCGAATTATTCGAGGTACTCGAGGAATCGTTTCAACCCTAATCCTAATGCCATGCTGGCTTCTTGCTTCGTCTCAAACACAAACTAGGAATTGTTTGTCTGTGATGTGTGTGTAAGTGTGTGTTAGGGCCACCCTGCCGTTCTCAGGTCTGTTTGAGTGAGGTGAGCTGAAAGTCAGCAGCAGAACGAAGCAGCCAAGTCTGACCGAAGGACAAGAGGCTGACAGGCGGTCGTCCTTGCTGGCTGGTCAGAGTAAAAAACAAGAACAAGAGGATAAAATTAAAAAGGATGAAGTGACAGGGTTGGCTTTAAACAACCAACTCTGTTTGAGACTACTTTGACAACTGCTGCCTGTGAAACAGGAAGGAGACGGACTGAGAAGGTTTATGCGCTCTGAGAGTTCTCAATTAGCTTTTTGATGAAATTCCTGGTTCCTTCTACCGAAGATGCTTTTTTGAACATTAAGGGTTGAATGTGTTCTTATTTTCATGCTTTCAATCAAGATGTTTTCTTCAGTCAGACTCCGATTCGACAAGGTGCCTGTTGTTCCTGCTCCCATTTGTGATATTTGTAGATCGTTGCCTGCAGTAGATCCACAGAATGGTCTGATGTTGGTATTGACAGTAGTCTGGCTTCTCTCCGGCTTCCAGGCTGCTGTGATAACATCTTTCTCTGCTTTACATTAAGCAAGGACCAAGCATTTTAAAATATCTTCAAAATGAAGAACCTGATGAGAGTGCATGGTTAATAATACAACAATGATAATGATACAGCAAACTTGTATAGCGCTTCTTACGACACTCAAAGATGCTTTCTTGCACTCTCACATTCACACACTGCCGGTGATGGTAAGCTACTTTGTAGCCACAGCCGCTCTGGGGCGGTCTGACAGAGGTGAGGCTGCTATTTGGCGCTGTCGGCCCCTCTGACCACCACCAACACAGGCAAGTTGGGTCAAGTGTCTTGCCCAAGGACACAACAGCATAATACCCCTGGCGGGAGCTGGCATCGAACCCACGACCTTCCGATCATGAGGCAACTCGCTCCACCACCTGAGCTACTGCTTCCCCAAAGGTTAACTCTTTGGAAGGGTAAAATCAGGCGTACACTGTGATTTTGTCCCATTTTGAGCTGATATTCGTTAGGGATGCACCGATACTGATACCAGTATCGGTATCGGTAAAAGTTAACTGATACCAGGAACCGATACCAATGCAGTTGCTTGAAAATGGCTTCACTGTCACTTATCATTTCTGTTCACCTAATATTTTAGTTTTGTGGTAATTTCCATTCATATATTTTACATCCTTGTCTGTTAGTGCAGCCGACCACGCAGCAAGCTAAAACCATTTTACTGTCAAATCAACTAAATAAAAGGATAAAAGGCTACAAAC